GGCACCAAATTGAAGTTTTATAACTCCTCTATGTTTATCATGCAAAAAAAAGTTTAGATGAAATGTAGTTTTTCATGCTTCAGTAATGTTAAATGTGTCATTTCTAACTTCTATCCCCCTGAAACTGCTGTAATTTTAGTCAAGGAATGTACAAAGGACAAACGAAACCATTTGATTTCCTACAAACTTGGAAAATCTACATGCTTAGATGAGGGGCATTTGTCATGATTTGATTTGTTATCGGGCTGGTATATTTTCTTTCCGGGGAGAATATTCTGTGTGTCCTAATCACAAGTATTATCTTGGTAGCAAGTGGAGGAGGAGTAGCATTTTATGTAGACATCCTGATCACCTGGAAAATCCTAACTAGAATCCGACCGGACTGCAGTCACACCTCAAATTAGCCACCACCTTTTCGGGACCAGCGAAGTTGTGCTACCAATAGGATCAGGTGATAATCTCATATTTAAAGATAAATAAGCATGCTGTTTGATAATTTGGTATTATTTTAGCACCCAAGCTTTTAACTTGTAGTTTTCTAGCAAAATAAATTCAGAGGGAGGGGGGGGGGGGGTGTAGAATGATAACATCTTATTTTTCAGTCTATACCATCACATGTTTCGGATCTTTACTCAAATTACTGTATCGTTTATGTGAAACCTTCCATTTTTAGAACAGACAATTGTAGAAGTCTATAAATATATGAGAAACTAAGGATGATTAGTTCTGTTATTGAACAATCACCAAGATTTTGATTCCTCTATGTACATGTATCAGTGCTCCATCTAGAAATTGAAAGGGGCAGGGTGTCAGTGGAGGTCAGGGCACTTTTTAGGATAGGAAAAACATTCATCATTTTTTTTACAAAATAAGTACACTTTTTGTTCAATTGTAACTTTATATACAGCATACAATTGAACAAAAAGTGTACTTATTTTGTAAAATAATAATATCTCTAATATAGACTCAGTGTAAAAATCTGAGAAATTTTTATTTATATCTATTTCAGATAATGCATAAATGTACATTTCTGGTTTTTATTATTTTCTGTTAATAAATTTATATCATATTCTTTTCATGTTTTTATAAAACTGACCTCATTGCATCAATGCCTCATACTGTAATAATATCATACATTGCTCATATTATCACTTTATAACTTTTTTTATTATGTACATGTATTGTGTATTTCACTAAAAACTTTTTTTATAATAATCATTGTATAATTATTATGTTTATGTATCTTGCCTGACAAGGGCCCATGATTGGTAAAATAAATAATGTCTAATGTCTAATGTGCATGTACATTGTAGTAATCAAGATTCTTTCTTCCATATAAGTTTGTGCAGAAAATGTACGCAGATGATTAGCAAAGAAATAGAAGAAACTTTAATGGCCATATTTGAGGTAAAATTTTAATTGAATAGCATGCATATTGTATATTATACAATAAATATATGAATATAAAAAGACAATCAAAATATTGTATTGGCCTCAACCAAACTGTCCCTCAATTGACAGGCCTTAAGGTCTTGAACCATAAAAAAAACTACTTAGAATTAAATTCAACTTTTTGAACCAGGCAGTTTAAATTAATTAAATAGCATATACAAATGTGAATACCGGTTATATATTTTAAAACTATTTAAACTGCTAAAATTTGGTATACTACCTTAAATTGTATAATAGTAACAGACAATCTTATAAGTTATGCACTGTTTAAATTTGTGAATTTTTACTATGCCATTAGTATAATAAACTAAGAAAATTGATTGCTTCTATTCTTGTGATAATTGGAGTACTCTAGATGGTAATATTGATTTTAAACATTAACATGTTAAGGAAAGAAAATGCATGACATATATGCATTTTTTACTGTTCGAGATTTGTAGGGTTACTTTATATAATTATTTTATATGATTGCAGGGCTTAAAAATACCTTCTCTATATTTCAGATATGTGATGCACCAAGTAGGGCTGATCATTTAGAAGAAGCTAGAGGCCTTGAGGTAAATATCTTGTTGAATGTATACCCAAATTCAATGCACTAAGTATAAAATTGGGCTATTCAAGTTCAATGAACTATTTTGAATAAAATTTGAAATACATGTACCTTACTCTTCTACAAATAATTTCATTTAAAATTTTTGAAGAATAAAAAAATGCACACAAAAATACAATTTTTCCAATAAGTTTCATCCTTGGAGACACTATTTAGCTCACCGGGCCCACAGGGCCAAGTGTGTTTTTCTCATCACTTGGGGTCCGTTGTTAAAAGGGCACTAGCTGTCAAATTAAATTCATGTTCACCAATTTTAATCAAATTCTCACATTTGATTTATAACAATGTAAAACATTTATCAAAACTATTAAAAGTCTAAAATTAACAATTAACAGGACACGGGCATAAAAATACGTAGCTTCGTTTCGTGTGTATTTTAGTCTAGATGCCATCTAATTAATTATCGAGTTGACCTCTAAAGTTATCCGATGACCATATAAGCGATGTAAACATAAATATAGATATAAATAAATTGATCTAACTCGTGCTGTTGGATTATTCTAGGTCTATTTAATTTCATATATAGATGAAAAATAAATGTTTATCATCGTTTTTACCTGTATAAAAAGGATTTTTTTGTGGATCGAATCAGTCAATCAAATGATTAACCTTTGTTTCACTTTCAATGTTGATAGTCTTTTCCTTTAAATAACTTTACACATACAATTCACGGGTTATCCATCTCAAGCTAAGGAGGTTAGATTAAAGCTCACATGAATACGGATTCAATGAGGTCGAATTATTCACTTGCAAGTGAATAATTCATAATCAATGTTTTTTAGCTTATTTTGACAAAATTGAACCATACTGTCTGCGTGAAGCTAATTATTTTTTAACTATTTGCATTTCATTAATGATTGGGCAAAAAAAAAATATATATTAGATTTTTTATATATCTCGTAGCTAGTGCCCCTTTAACTTTTACAAAAATATTCTCCTCTAAAACTACTGGGCCAAAGTTTACAAAACTTAGACACAATCATCATTAGGGTATTTTGTTTAAAAGTTGTGTCCAATCAAGATGGCCGCCATGGAAAAAAATAGAACATAGGGGTAAAATGTAGATTTTTGCTTATATCTCTGAAACCAAAGTATTTTGAGCATATCTGCAGTAATGAAAATTGTTCATCAGGTCAAGATCAATCTACCCTGCAATTTTTAGATAAATCATACAACCCGTTGTTGGGTTGCTGCCCCTGAATTGGTAGTTTTAAGAAAATTTTGCAGTTTTGATACGCCCGTTTACGGGACATATTATGGTATACCGTTTACGTCTGTCCGTCCGTCGACATTAACCTAAAAAAGCTTTAACCAATTTGCATGAAACTTTAGCGAATTGTTTATATCTATTGACGTGAGCTCCCTTTCATTTTTTATGAATTTAAAATTTTACGTTTCCGAGTTATGGGGTTTTATTCATTAAAAAAGGGGTGATTTTCCAGTTTTCGGACAATAACTCAAGAGTGCTTTCACCAACTTGCAAGAAATTTTGGTGAATTGTTTATATCTATTGACATGAGCTCCATTTCAATTTTTATAAATTTTAGATTTTACGTTTTAGAGTTACAGGGTTTTATTCATAAAAAAGGGGGATTTTCCAGTTTTCGGACAATAACTCAAAAATGCTTTCAGCAGTTCTCTTGAAACTTTGGTGAATTGTTTATATCTATTGATGTAAGCTCACTTTAGAATTTTATAAATTTAGATTTTTCATTTCCGAGTTATGGGGTTTTATTCATTAAAAAAGGGGTAATTTTCCAGTTTTCGGACAATAACTCAAAAAAACTATCAGCAGTTCTCATGAAAATTTGGTGAATTGTTTATATCTATTGATGTAAGCTCCCTTTAGAATTTTATAAATTTGACATTTTACTTTTCCGAGTTATGAGGTTTTATTCCTTAAAAAGGGGGAATTTTCCAGTTTTCGGACAATAACTCAAAAATGCTTTCAGCAATTCTCATGAAAATTTGGTGAATTGTTTATATCTATTGATGTAAGCTCCCTTTGGTTTTCATAAATTTCAAATATGACATTGAGTAGTAATTGAACTTTATTCTTTGAAAATGTGACGGGTGTATCCTGTACTCATGGTGCAGATGTTTATTGGTTAATATCTTCAATATTATTATAGATAGGGATAAACTTTAAACAGCAATGGTGTTCAGCAAAGTAAAATCTTCAAATAAGTCAACATAACCAAAGTTGTCAATTGACCCCTTAATGAGTTATTGCCCTATATAGTCAATTTTTAACAATTTTTCGTAAATTTTGTAATCTTTTCAAAAATCGTCTCCTCTGAATCAACTGGGCCAAATTTAAAGTCACATGAAACTTCAAATTAAAAAATATTATGCATATGTTTTTTATTACTAAATGGGTAGTTTTTATTATAAAACTTATGTACATATACTTTTTTCTCAAGAAAATTCTCTAATTAGTCCAAATTTAGAAGAAGTTTACTTTTTTTTAATTGCTTGTTTCCAGCAAACAATTCGCCGACATGTTTTCCGTATGCAGTGTGACCTTTCTCGTAAAATTCCGGTGATCGCAATACGCAAGTGCGAATGGAAAACCAAACGTAAACATCGCTCCGTCATCAAGATAAACTATATCTTTTTGTACCTGTTTTCCACGTGCTCCCCTGGTTATCCGAGTATCGTAAGTGAGTCTCGCGAGATTTGACCAAATACAATCAGTTTGGCCGCTGCTATCAAGCGTGAAGCACGGACTTTTACTGCTCTTGAGTAGAGCGTGGTTGGACTTCTCTTAAGTAGAGAATTTTCTTACTGTGGAAGTAAGTTTTTTAATCTTTGTTAAATGTAATGAATGTTTTTAATATATTTTGTTAACAACAGCTTGGAGATTTGGAAGCTGTTTTGTAATTAATGTACTTTAATGGAGTTTGCGTCTGCATTGGTTGCGACGCGTGTTGAGGAAATGTCCTGTAAGTCGGGAAGTTTGTTTTAGCTAAATACATGTACATGTTTAAAGTGGCGTTTGCATAGGTTGCGGCGTTTTATTAGGAAGGTTGTGGCGTTTTATTCAGAAGGTTGCGGCGTTTTATTAAGAGGCTGCCAAGATTCTGCCAATTGCAGGCTGATTTTGTATTGATGTAACTATTTTCGACTTGCCACTTTTCTGACTTATCTGAACTTATAGTTAATGTAACTGTTTACTTTTAATTTTATTCTCTTTGCGTTTGGTTTAAAATTTAGTTAATTACGGGTCTTTGGTTAATATATCTCGGATAAGTAGTTTCCGTATTTTGTGTCTTTGTCGAAGTAATGAAAATAATAAGGAAAATGCTTTGCTTAGTCCAGTTAGCAATTTTAAGACTTTGAATGCATTTATTTTTATGAAATATATCCATCAAAATGTTCATAAGTCTAGGTAATTTTTATCCTTACTTTTAGGCGAGAACTGCCCGCACTGCACAATTTTTAAGTGCTATTTTAATGTTGTTTTTTTTTCAGATATGGCTCAGGTGTTAAAACCTAACTGTTCCCTTGTGGGTAAAAGTCTTATTCCTATAATATTGAGAGTTAAAGCCGCAGACGCTGACGTAGATGTCGTAGAGTTGTCCCGGTTTAAGAAGGACGAACCCCTGGAGAGTTTTTCAAAAGCTGCGTTGATAGCGGAATTTGAGAAATTGACGGGTAAGTAATAATTGAGGGTGGTAAAGGGGGGTCTGAGAACGGAAACACATAACATAAAAACCTCAAAACGTTGAAGCGCGAAGCACGAGAAATAAGGACAAGAAAAGTAATAAAATTTAATAGTCAGCCATCCGTGAAGTTATCACAAGGTCCATTTAGAAACTGTTAATTGCGTCTGTTATGTAAATGCATACAGATGAATTTTAATCGATGTTATTACATCGGTTTAGTTTTTTACACAAAATACAGGTCATGCACGAGAAATTAGATGTCTGGGCATGAAGCACGGGAAATAAATTAAAGTAAGCACGAAGCACGTGTATACGTGCAAACACGAGAATACGAAGAACACGAAAGCATGGAAAATTAAAAAGGCCGAACATTTTGCACGTATATAACCCTTTACCATGCAGCCTCATAATTTATTACGTTTTTCTAAGACTTTTTCAAACCTACAGTTTAAAGTTTATGTAGCTTTAAAATTTGATATTTGGCTATCGCATTGGCTGATAATGTTTCAGTTTTAGATTTGTGACAGTTTAATTTTGAAATGTTAAGTTGATTCTTGTTGTTGGATGTTATTATATAAACGAGTTGCCAATAAGTTTTTTCGTTTTCACGGTTCGTGATTTTACACATAGTACTCTATCAGTTGCGTTTAATTGATCAATGATTTTATTTATATCCAGGTGAATCAGTTAAGGATGTATCAACTCTGTGTGGAAAGAATGATTCTATTGAGAATGTGAGATTACTTGTGCATGAGAGCATCATTTTGGCCAATTCTTTGGGGGCTAGAGGTCAGAGGTTGAGCAGTCAAAACACTTCACCAACAGAAACGCCAGCGGCTAAAGGTATAGAATGTTTCTTTTTTACCTTATTCGTGTTAATAATTTTGTGCAGGTTAGGTTGTTTGTCTGCCCTTATTTAGCCTTTTTATTAAGTGTTTTTGTGAAGGTAGTCTCACTTTAATTTGAAACTTAAGGTTTATGAACCCTTATGTAGACCTGTGTATTTCTAAAGGGAAATGTCCTTCACAGCAATAATAATTATTTCTGTCAGAGACATCATTGCATTTAATAGAAAATGTGGATTTTGTGGCTAACAAGCCTATATTTTTACAGAATACAGACTTTACAGAGATTTTCGTTATAGCATTTTAAACATAGATTACTCACTTCTCTGTCCATGATGTGATAGACTGTTTATTGTTTACAAAGTCCTTTATAATCTTTATAATCAGCACACATTAGAAGGTGTACTTGAATAGGTCTACATTTGTATTTATTTTAACTATTTTTGTTATTTTAAACCTCATTTAGGGAAATCAGTGTTAGCACTACTTGCATGAATCTATTTATACAGAATTGTCAAACATAAAGAGTACAAGGGGAAAGGCTGTGGATTTTCTCTAAATTTCCATATGTTTAGCATTGAAACAACAAAAAGGGTATATAATTTTTATTTGGTTTTACGCACTTACCGTTTACAGCTTAGGCATGTAATTGAGGTCAAGGCATTGTCTTGTAGTCATATTACTTGTATTTGTTAATTTGACATTTTGAGTAAGCTATTGTTAAGATGTTATATTAATTTCCCTCTTGTTTGGCTGTTGTAGGAAGTGGTACTAAAGCTGTCCCTGGTGAACCATGTACTAATCAGCAGCTGCAAGCCATGAGGCAGGATTTAGATGAATTAAAGAACAAATCAAAAGATATACAGGTAGATGAAGCACTATCTTATGTTAGGACATTGGCAGCAAGACCAAAACTTACAACACCGGGAGTATTGCTTGCGGCCATCGAAATGTTGGTTGATGCAGCTAACAAAGCGAATCATAAAGACTGTTCATTATTTTCAAAATCCTTTGCCATGTGTAAAAAATTTGAAGATCATGTTGATTTTTGTGGGCTTGTGTTAAAATTGTTTGGTTCCCAGGAGGACAAGAAGATTTCCTCCTTAATTTCAGACTGGGCAAAATCTAAGAAATACGAGGAACCATCAGGGTCAAAGGAGAGGCAGGAAAAATTAGATGCACCACCTGCTTCAGCTTCTGGATTTCCATTTCCTGGATATGGGTTTCAAAATCCAGGTTTTGGTTTTCCATATCCAAATTTTTATCCGGGGCCAAACTTTAATACTGGTGGTTTTCGGCCTCCAAGAATGCAAGGAAGTAGAGGTAGGGGAGGTTCTAACGGTGTTTGCTACTTTTGCAAGGAGTCAGGACATTTTATTGCCAATTGTCCAAAAATGAAGAAAGATAATTAATTTTGTGTATTTTTGTATTTTGTGTATTTTTGTATTTTGTGTATTTTGTTTTGTTATTTTATTTTATTTTATTTTTTTGATACCTTTCCCTTCCCAGGAGCTTCGATCTCCAGTGAAATTTTTCACGCGGGTAAGGGTTGAGTGTCTCTCCTTTAAAATAATTTGTAAATACTGAGCATTTTTTAGATGTGAAAGGATATTTTTTGTTAATTTCAGAATATCAGGGATCATGAACCTTTGGTTAAGAAAGAAAAGTTTGAGCCAGAAATTCCAGATTGGGAGTTAAAATCGGGTTTCGATCCATCACGAGTTAAATTAAGAAAGCAAGGTGACATACTTTCAGTAAATTATAAAGGAGAGATCACCCAACCCTCTGTTTGTTTGCCTAAGGCTGAAGAGGTTGTAAATGGTAGTGACTTTAATTTTGAGGATCTGTCTTTTTTAGATCCTAATTTTTTCAAAGCAGGAAATTTGATGTATTGTTCAGAACAATGGGAGCAAATAGGTTGTCCTGATGAAATTTTGGACTGGATTAAAAACGGGGTAGATATTCAGCCCATGTTTAAACATTTTAAGGGTAATTTTAAGGGTCATAGTTATGATTCAAACCTTCCTCAACCTGTATATTTTCAAAACTCTGCTAGTTGTAAAGGATTTGAGAAATTTGTCTCTGACACTTTATTAGAAAGAATAGCCAATGGATCTTTAACTGTACTTGGTAGAGTTGGAGAATGTGATCCCCCTTTACTTGTTTTACCTATCACCATTGAACCTTCAAAACCCCGTATGTGCCATGATGAAAGATACCTGAACTTGTGGATTAAGGATCTCCCTTTCTCTTTAGATACTCTCAAAGAGGTTCCTAGATTATTAGAGAAGGATTCGTTCATGGCATCTCTTGATGATAAGTCTGGTTATGATCATATACTTTTAAATCCTAATTCTAGACAGTATTTCGGAATCCAGTTTGCAGGCTGGTACTTGGTTTTCAACTCCCTCCCATTCGACTTCAAAGCCAGTGCTTATATTTATCACACTACCGGTCTGGTTCCAATCAGCTATTGTCGCTGCCTTGGTGTACCTTCTTTATTGTATATAGACGATAGGTTAGTTTGTGAGTTTAAAGGTACTAATTTGAAGATAGGATCGGGACGTGCAGAAATGGCAGAAAAAAGTCTGTACATTCTATGTCAGGTTCTTGTTAGATTGGGATATTTCATGAATTTGGCTAAGTGTTGTTTTATACCAACCAGGTGTTTGAAATTCTTGGGAATGTTTTGTGACTCAACTGAACTGGCCTTTATCTTGCCGGGGCCGAAAAAAGAATCGTTTAGAGTTTTAAGGGAATCTATCCTTGATGGCAATGAAGTGGGCATTAAAACCCTGCAACATTTTGCAGGAAAATGAGTTTCATTTTTTCTTGCTATCCCCTCTGCTAGATTGTTTTCAAGGGAAATCAATAGGGCCATTAGCCTTGCTTCTAGAAATAGCAAAAAAATTTGCATTTACAAAGAGTTAAGGACGAGTTAGAGTATTGGCGTTTTCTGGATAACTGGGAGGGAGCTGCCTCCTGGAGATTAGAAACCCATTTACAATTGATTTTAGCAACTGACTCGTCGCTTTTTAAGTGGGGTGCCTTTATGATTTTCAAAGGGGTTTCAGTAGAATTTGGTGATTTTTGGAAAGACTACGATAACGCTCCAATCCATGTTAAAGAGGCAAATGCCCTACTCCACTCTCTCTGTTCTGTTAAGGAGAAAATTGTTAATGCTCGGGTAGACGCGTTTTGTGATAATCTTGCTGTAGTTAATGCTTGGAGTAATCAAGGTGGTAGGGACCCCTCTTTGAATGCAGTTTTGCGGAAAATATTCACTCTTTCAAAAACGGTTAATATGGACCTACGTCTTGTGTATGTTAATTCTAGTAGAAACCCTGCTGACAGGGAGTCCGGAAGGTTAAGATTGTCAGATGCTATGTTGTCTCCTCTGAAATGGAACTTTGTTGAACAGAGGTTTGGTCCCCACACTACAGATTTGATGGCTTTAGATTCCAATGTTATGATTGATAAAATTGGTAATCCGTTAAAACATTTTACACCATTCCCCACAGTTCTTTCAGATGGTGTAAATGTTTTCTCTCAAGACTTGAAGTTAGAGAAAAACCCTTATGTGTTCCCCCCTTTTTGTTTAATTTTTGAAGTTTTGAAGTTTTGTGCTCAAATCGGGGTCAGAAGTTGTACATTTGTGGTTCCTGAATTGTTCCCAAGACCAGTTTGGTGGCCTTTTTTCTGGGAACATGTGTCAGAATGGAATGTTTTAGCTCGACAAAATGAACTTGAAGCTCTGTTGTACCCATCTGCTAAAGGTTTTAAGATAGACACTAATGGTTTACCTTGGCGTTTAATTGTCGCACGACTTCATTTTTAGTTTAACCTTTTTGTAGAAGGCTGTACCACGAGTTTGGCTTCCAGCAGAACAGTGTTTAGTGTGTGGTTATGCAAATGATGTTGGATATCAGTTTTGCCAGTCATGTGAACAAAAACCTGTTATGATTGATAGTTCTGAAGAAAGCACAAGTGATTGTGCAGTTGAAAGACGTCTGCGATATTTTGACAATTTGGTCGGAAATACTAGTTATAATAGGAAAAAGCTTTCGCTGGAAAAGGCGTTTGAGAAGTTTTTGTCTGAAAGTGTACCCGTTAAATGTATAAAGTCTGCTTCCCCTTTAGATGTTAGGCGATTTATGGTCATGAAGGATTCAAAGGGAAAAACTCAAGTACATGACTTGTCTTGTGAATTTCTTGGTAAGTTAGGTATTTATTCATGTCAGTGTCCGTTGAGGTTGGCGGCGGGAACTGTTCAGTCTATGCTAGGACAATTAAAGGCTATATTTGAATCTAATGGTCGGGGTTCTGCGTGGAATGCAATAACTGACACTGGTAATCCTGTGTGTAGTCCAGAAGTAGAAAAATATTTGCATGCTATTCAGTTTGAGCAGTCAAAATCACATGTTGTACAAAAACAAGCAAAGCCTCTGTTTTTAGACAAACTCCGATCATTTAGTGTTCATATCGATGATTTGTTGATGAATCCCGATTTGAAACCATCCGAAAGATTCATATTTTTAAGGGATCAGGCTTTCTTCAAAGTTCAATATTTTTCAGGAGATAGAGCGAATGACTTGGGTTTGTGTATTTCACAAGAGGTTAAGTTATTACCAAAAGGTGATGGTTTTCTTTTTTCACACACTGTAGGCAAAACTCTTGGAAAGGGGAAGGTGAATGAATTTTCCATCTTGAGATTTGATGATACTTTGATTTGTCCTGTTGAAGCCCTGGAAAGGTATGTTAAAGTGCCAGGGCGCTTGGGGTTGATTTAAGGTTTGGTTATTTATTCCGTACTTTGAGTAAAAATAGAAAAGAGGTTACTGACAATCCTGTATCTTCCAATGCTATGTATGATCGCTTGAAGAAATATTTAAAGAAACTCGATATTTACGACGGCGAGACCCCTCATGGAATTCGGGGAGCGTGTGCTATTACTTTGGCATTGTCAGGGGGCCTGCAAATGACGTCATGCAGCATATAGGTTGGTCTTCCTCATCTTCTTACCAAAGATACAATAGAATGTCCAGTATGGTAGGACGAGGGTCAGTCAGTTCCATCATGGCGAATACGGGGGCTTCTGAATCTAATATTTGTAGATCTATTTTTGAGTCGTATTGTGAGGTCAATAAACTTTCCAGTGCTTTTCAGTGACAATTTGAAGTGTTTTGGAGTAACAGTTTGTTACTATTAAATGCATTGTTAAATTTGATTTTGTATTTTTGAGGGACTTTATGTATTACTACTATTTATGTATGTCGAATATGACTTGCCTGCATTTTGAGGGATATTATGCATCGCCATTATTTATGTATTTTGAAATTGAGAATTTGTTTAAATAAGACTTGCCTGTATTTTTGAGGAATATTATGTGTGACTGTATTATCTATGTTGAAATTGAGAATTTGTCGTGTAAGGATTGTATCGAATATACTTTTCTTTAATAAATATTTCTTTTCTTTAATTCGTTTTTACTTAATTTGTTTTATTGAGTTTCGAGGAAGTGTTTCTATTCTAATTAGAAATCATGTTGACAACAAATTACACATGTCATATTAAGTGAAAATTCATATTTATTTGCGCAAGCCTTAGGGTAGATATTTGAAGGACATTTCCTGATGATGAAAATGAACGGATAAAGGGCAAGGGCACTAAGACATTACTTAACCACCCGATGTTATACATAAAATACATCTAGAGCTTCCAATTTGATTGTCAATGCAGCAGAAACTACCACATAACAGATAGTACACTCTGGATGTCCCCAAACAACAGTTAATCCGAATATATTAACACTTTACAGTTAGGTCATAGGTTATATGTGTATATTGAAGAATTCACGATTTAGAACGTGAAAGTCAGAAAAACATAAAAGCAAGAGGTCAATTCAGGTGCACGAAAGATGATTGATTGAATTGGGTTTAACGCCACTGTCGGCAGTATTTCAGCTATATCGTTGAGGTCATTTTTAGTGGCGGAGGAAGCCGGAGTACCCGGAGGGAAACTACGATCTTCGGCAGGTAACTGACAAACTTTATCCCGTACGGTTGCAAGTCGAGTGCACCTTTTTTGTTGTTGTTTACAAAGCGAGGTGCGAACTCGCAACGCAGAGGTGACATGGTACAGTGATTTTACAGGTAAACTTAACTACCTTAACCACTAGGCCACCCAGGCGCCCACGGCAGAAAAAGCAGTCGGCATATCCTGCTTTGATCAGTTTTCTGTATGAGATTTCATAACTGTGGTTTGCTTGGATTGGCTTCGTTTGTGATATTTCAATTATTTTTGATGGTTTCGAAAATAACTCATTCATTGAAGAATTTGACGTATTTATTTATACAAGACAAAATTTAAGTTTTGGGTGAGTATTGGGAATGTTGAGGGTTGTAGTTAGGAATTGTAAGAATATTGTCGTTATAGTATTGAGGTCTGCTGTGAAACCCAATTTTCGCCCAATACTTACAGAAATTTGGTCATATTGAGCATGGACTTACTTATGATATCATGATATCGTAAGTGAGTCTCGCGAGATTTGACCAAATACAATCAGTTTGGCCGCTGCTATCAGAGCAAAGTGGGACTTGCACATGCTCTGTGTATGATATGGGCACAAATCAGGACTTAACATGCTCTGTGTATGATGTCGGTACAAAGCGGGACTTTCACCAAAAAAAAAAAAAAAAAAAGTTCATGTATCTCGATATGGCTAAGTTCAAACCCAATTTTCGCCCAATACTTACAGAAATTTGGTCATATTGAGCATGGACTTACTTATGATATTATGACTTCTTACTTGATTGTTTACAAACGGGTGACAATCGTTAAACTTCGGCTTCAAAACACGACCATTAATTAGCTGCCATATTTTCACAACAACACGGACCGATTGAAATATTTTTTGACGATTATAAGTAATTTATGCGAAAAAAAAATGATGAAATCGTGCACAGAGGACTAAGTTTATGATATATGTATTCATATGGGTTCAAGAATTGGATTAACATTATTTTTCACCGGTCACTTTTCACCAAACTTGGCCAAAATTATCATTGGGGTATCTAGTTTTAAAAATGTGTCCCACGACCCCGTCTGTCAACAAACATGGCCACCATGGCTAAAAATAGAACTTATGGATAAAATGCAGTTTTTGGCTTATATCTTTGAAACTAAAGCATTTAGAGCGAACCTGACATGGGGTAAACATGTTCGTCAGGTTAAAATCTATAAAATTCAACTATATATTAATATCAGAAACATCTCGGACAAGTTTTATAATTTGGCTGTTCAACTTTTTTAAAAGAGTTATGTCCCTTAAAAATATTAAATTTATGGAAAATGGCGCTCTAATGGGAACAGCTCTTGTCAGATTTTTATCAAACATGTACTATAGGTAAATTTCAGCAAAATTTCGAACAAGTTCTATAATTGTGGTCGATCAACTTTTTCTTAAAGAGTAATTTCCCTGTATGGAAAATAGCCACACGTTAGCGCTCTCACAGGTACAATTCTTGCCAAATTTTTATAAAACTTATACTGTAGGTAAATATCAGCAATATTTCGGACAAGTTCTGTAATGGTGAATGATCGACTTTTTTTAAAGAGTTATGCCCCTTGGAAAAATAATATCTGTGCAACATGGGGGAAATTGGAACTCAGTCCTTTAATTAAAACAGAAAAAATAGTACAATAAATAAAAGAGCAAAAATAAGGATTTCATGTATAAATTGCTTTAATGTTATCCTTTAAGTTTGTTAATCTCATTCAAAATTAAACTTTATATGTCAATTTGGAGAATGTTCTTAAGAAAAGACCATTTCAGAATTTTGTTGAAAACATCACATTCAATATAACCATAACAATGTTGGCCTCAGTAGCCAAGTGGTATAATTTGTTCATTTTTTGTTATAACTAGCCACTCAACACTTAGATTAAGAGTTCAAAAAAAGCAGGCATAGGTGCACAAGATTCTAATCTGTATTGGCTTGGATTGACTATCTCCTTATAAAAGTTCAAAGTTTTGTTTGAATTGTGATCTGCTGATAAATCATCAAAATCAGGAGTTCAAAGTTTGACGAATGATGGTCAGTTTTCGGATAAAGCTGGTGTTTCCTGTCTTTAATACAAAAACATCGGGTACAATAATTTGAAGGTGTCGAACAATTATTTTTTTTTAGTAAGAAATGTTCTTGTTATTAGAGTTACTTCTTTTTGTACACTTTTCGGATGTAATGTCCGTGATAGATTCTAAGAGTGATCAAAGAAACTATGTTTTATGTTTCAGGAATAAGAGCTACTCATTACGAATTTAGTAAAGCATAGTCAGGAAAGAGGATCTGTGCTGCAAAGATAACCCATATGCGATTGAAAATGTGCATGTATGTATCATGAAGGAAAAACATCACCATTCCTTTTAAAATGCAGGCAGCAATAATGGATGGAACTGGAGTCAAAGCTTGTCAGTGTGCAGTTGTAAAGGTTGACTTATCAAACAGACCATTACTAGTCACCGTATTAAAGGAATTAACCAGACTGTTTATGATATGAAGCAGTATTTTTAGATAAAATTATATCTTTTCAAATGACAAATGTTTTATGAAAATTCTAAAACCAGCATTTATGTAACTATAAAAATTATTTTGATATCTTTTAACTTTTGTTGAAACAAATTCATTATGGATACAAAACATAATTTGCAGAACAGGATGCAACCCTCTGGCGCACTGTGAAAAGTCGTAAGGTTATAAGTTATTGGCGTAGATGGAATAAGCTCGAAAACTTGACCTACCGCAAATCAAATATAGCTTATGGAGTATTTTTAGTTATAAAATATTTTTCATATGTCATTTGATAAGGTACATCTTATACATTCAATGTTTATTTTATGTTTTAAAAAAGATTTGCCTAATCCTTTAGTCATTCATAAATTATTGACATGGTTAAAATTTCTATGGTTAGTGTAAGGGAAACTAATGATGTCAAATCAATGATATTTGGTGTATACTGTAAATTCAGAAATTATTGCATGCATTTACTATTGCGATTTTGTCATTATACCCCCGCTTTAAAAAAGTGGGGGTATACTGTTTTACCTCTGTCTGTCCATCAATCCGTCAGTCCATCTGCCAGTCCGTCCGTCAGTCCATCCATCCGTCAGTCCGTCCGTCCCATGAATATTTTCGTCGCATTTTTCTCAGGAACTACTTGACAAGGATTTTTAAATTTTGGTTTCATAGTTTATATAAGTCAGTTATACCGTGTGATGCGTTTTAAGATTCATCACTCAACAACTTCCTGTTTACCGAACACTTGTATCATTTTACACATGATAGCCAAGTTGAATATTTTCGTCTCATTTTTCTCAGGAACAACAATACAAGGATTTCTGAAATTTGGTTTCAGGGTTTATATAAATCACCTATACCGTACAGTGTGATGCGTTTTCAGATTCATCACTCAACAACTTCCTGTTTACCGAACAGTCACATATTTTTACACTATTAAAATTATCCACTTGCGGCAGGGGTATCATCAGTGAGCAGTAGCTCGCAGTTTTACTTGTTTAAGACTGAAATACGATTTGAATTTTTGCGATATTGAGAAAAATCCTGTAATATTCGTATAAAAAAGTATTTTTTGTAATCGACGAATTATACGGACGTTGTTTTTAATTTCAAAAGTAGAACAGAATGTAGTCGGGTCAGGTTTAGGAATTTTTGTCCGATGTTCCTACGATACATGGTAAAATATTTTACCCCATATCACCCACATTTTTTTCATAGAAGACTTCAATAGCTCACAAAAAGGTCATGGCCAAAATTTAAGCAGATTCTAGATTTAGTATCAATTTTAATAAATTCTATATTTTTTTTATTTCACCGAAGTACATTCTTAATATATATTATATTTAACCATATCCCAAATTTATGTGAGACGTCCGGGATTCCGTGCTTTAAGGTCGACTTGCGATAAAACTTCAAGTTTCATTAAAAATCTTCAACATATATTGTTGTGAGCACATATTCCTTATATAAAACAAAATCAGATCTGTACTTATCGAAAAATTCGCACTTAGATTTATAGTTCTCTGTGTCTTAATTAGATAATTTCTCATCGGAATTTCATAGATTTTGAATATATAATGATTCTAACATTTAAAATAATATAATTCTATAATTTAATATCATGTAATATGTGTATGAATCTAAATTATCACATGTCAAACTATAATGAGGTATGACTGGGGGTCCTTCAATTTTATTTTTTTTTTTAATTTTTGCTGCCATTATTTTTTTTTCTATTTTTTGTAAATTTTGTCTAGTGTTTTCTATTCTTTATATTGTAGCACACCATTACTTTCTATTTCTAAAATTGCTTTTGGCAATTTTTCTCGATTTTTTTGTGTCTATTTTTCTATAGTATGATGGTCCATTATTCTCTATTCTGTAAACCCAATCCAGACCCCCAATAATGCCAGAAGCTACATACTAGTACTAAGCATATCCGGTGAAAGGAGAAGATGTATTTCATAATATTCTCGAGGATTCCGTTCATAGTTAACAATGTAGCAGGACCTACCATTACATATCTAGCTATTATTATGAATATGTTTGCCTTTTATGGTCTTTTCGACAAAGCAATCAAGACGCCATCAACAATTCTCATGCAAGGACTTGCTGTAGCCGACAGTTTGACAGCATTGTATATTTACGGGTTCGAGCCGATGTTTGAAATTTATTATGATAATATGGGTAGACCTGGTAACAACAACAATTTTACCATACCCATTGGAAGCTCGGAGGAAATCGGAGACATCCATATTGACATAACAGACACTCAAAATCTATTGGATATCAAATATCCTCTGTGTGTCATTCACTACTGTGCTACCCAGTTCGCCGATTGCTTCCATCTCGTTTCTGTTCTATCGACAGCTTCTCTCGGACTACAAAAAATGTTAGCTGTACTTAGACCTTTATGGAGTATCACAACAATAACGAACAAAAAGTTTATGTTGAAAATCATGTTTACAAATATTATGGGATGCAACTGAAATTCAGAATCAAAGAAAAATATGAAGATATGATAGAGGACCTGTTCTAAAAGTTGTCATCATTAACTGAAACAAACTATCGTAAGGCTATCTCGAGAATAAAACCCACTTTAAACTGCTACGATAACATTATTGAAGCGGAAATCGTCATGATCACGTTGATTCTCAATTTCAGTGAATGCTACGAGAGTTCAATTAATTCCCTTCATAATAATCTCCCTTTTCTTTTATTAGGTTCATCTCCGTACAGCGAACCAATGACCTACGTGTTCAATATTATCTGGGGAAATATTGATATAAGCAAAGAGAACTTCAAACTTTTAACCGAAATTTAAAAAATTTCTACCGTTTTAGGTTGTTCATCAAACTTCTTAATTTGCCTACTGATGAGTCAGAAATTAAGGCAAACTTTCTTTAAAAAATTGAGTGTTTGTAACTGAGTAAAGAGAGTGAAGGTCTTTAATACGGACATTTTAGTAACGTCTTTACGAAAAAAATAATTCAGACATAACTTTGGAAGCATTCATTTCATGTGCTATGGTCCGATACATGTACAATGTATCTACTTCAGGTTTAAAGAAAGTATTCTTGTAGACTTCTAATTACTTTCATTAGACTAAGTTATAATTTTTATTTTTGTATATAACTATCTCCATATATTTCGTTGCTATAAAAGATTTGTCTAGGTGACAATATGATATTACAAGAAAAGTTGCCCTTATTCTATAACAAGTATAACATGTATAAGAAGAAAAGAATAATTAATAATTGATACATGATTGTCAGTTCATTTTCGATCGATTTTTGTATTTAAACGTAACAATTTGATACCTCTCATTAAACTACTTAAGATGGCTGTCTTCCTCCATCTTGGATTTTGAAGTAGCAGATAACAATTGGTATAGATCTTTAATGAAATGTGCAAATTTTGAGAGTAATAGGTAATTCATGTGTAAGACTTTTCATGTTGATATAGAAAATTATGTTTTTTATCATATTTACGGCTGTATTTTCTAAAAAAAAAACGCAATATCTTTTTTTATTCCTTTTTTTTCCAACTTTGCCACATTAGGAGAGATAACTCAGATAGAAGGGGAGATGACTCAGATAAAGTAATTTTTATAATAGTAAGTGTTGTTAATTTACAGATTTTAAATTGTAGCAAGAAAACAAGTCCGGTGATCTCATTTTTTCTTTTTCTTATCTGAGCGCATGTTATAAGAGCTATCTTCTCACATTTCATCTTAAAATTCTATGGTGTAGTTTTCTTTTATCACACAAAATTGGATTTTCAATGCATAAGATATACAAAATCTGCACAACCTGTAGCGTGAAAAAAAATCCGGTGACCCATACTTTTTATTATATTTTGGAAAAAAGCTTGATAAAAACTACATTTTGACAAATTATGAAAAAAAATCTATGGATTTTAATTAAGACTCCCCATCCACCTTAAAACTACTAACAATTGATACATGCTGATGATGAAGATG